TCCCTCGCCTTGGCCCCGGCGTGTGAAGGGACTAGACGGCCCGGCATCCTGGCCCGACGGCCGTGTAACGCGGGCGGTTCTCGTCCGGACCGCGGGTCCAGTAGCTCACGACTCTGGCGGCACGGGAGTCCTTCTATGCACCCTTCCTGGACCCATGAGGACACCAGCGTGCATGCACGGGGAAGAGACCGGTCTCCCGAGGAGAGGCGCGCTCGGCATTTAAACAGCGGCGGTGATGAGGCTCCATTCGGTTCAGGTGTGCCCCATCACCCGCCGCCAGCCCTAGCTATTTCAGCGCCCCTCCTCTCTCACGCACCCACTCCCGTCGGGAGCCTGGCGAAGGGCGGCGATTAAGGGACGGGGTGATGATGATAATTAGGGGGAGGCAGCCGACTCGTCACAGTATGTATATGTATATGTATTATATATGTGCGTATATACAGTGGGTACGGAAAGTAAAAAAAATTAACTTAAATGATTTTAGCAAATGGCTGCAATATAACAAAGAGTGAAAAATTTAAGGGGGTCTGAATACTTTCCGTACCCACTGTATATATATATATACACCTTGCTACGTGTACTGTGTTAGGCTAACCGAGACTTGTCATTTGCACTTATATATTGTTGCTCTTTTGTTAGTTTTGACTGCTTTTATTGTCCTCATTTGTAAGTCGCTTTGGATAAAAGCGTCTGCTAAATTACTAAATAAATAACATACAAATAAAATAAAAAAGTGCTTGAAATTTTTCAGGTAGGAATTTATATATCAGAAATACTACAGATATCAAATAAAGTAAAATAAAGTTTTTTTTAAAAATGGCATAGTTTTTGCTGTATGAATTAAATATTCACTGATTTTTTTTTATTTTTATTAAAGCTACAAAAGTTGTCTCTCATACAGCGCTTGAGTACCGAACTGAGTTTTCCTTCACAGGTTATTGCACAGGTTAATGCAAATAATAAACTTTCATGACACAGCAGCAATGTCATGTGAGTGTAACCAGGATAATCAAAAATATCTACCAAAATGTCTACCAGTCTATCATGTCTGCTGGTATTTTCTACCCCAGATTCTTTGGACAGAAGACAATCCCATAATGCATTGATTATAAATATAATTTAGCCAATACAGCCAATGAAAAATAGTTTAAATAATATCTGTGTTCACTGGTATACATTTTGAGTGTTGTACTGTTAGCTTAGCAACATGCTAATGCAAAACTCAATTAAAATCAATTGCCCTTGTAAACCTCTTAAACCAGCTTAAGCTGGTTTGCACCTCTTAGCTGGAATAACAGGCTGGTTTACACATTTTATATTTATTTTTTAATTTTTTTTTCCAATGGAGTTCAGACTTCTGTGAACTTCCCGTGAGGAATGCTGTGTATATGATGTGTCTATGCAGATTATTCCCATACTGTCACTGTGAGGTTTCATTTCAGCTAGGATGCTTCCTTTGAAGGCGGCTTCCTATGAAGGCTGCACGTAAGAAGGCAGCTCAATAGGTTTTGGAACAGAGCCAGGATATTAATGCCATATGCCTGCAATGAATTCCCTCCAACATATGAGAAACCTCACACCTTCTGCAGAGCCAGCTGAATTACAGACCCTTGTCATCTGTTCCCAGCTGACACAGTACAAGTCAGAAAATAAGTCTCCTTGGATTCCTCTTTTAATCTAAACATCTTTCTGAAGGCAATTCATCTTGTACAACATGCATAAGATGTGCTCCATAACAGCCCGACCCCAGAAGCCTCTTTTCAATGAAACCACCAAAGCAAGAGAATGGACAAACAGCAATGAGTTTAGCAGCGCTACTCACCGGCTTATCGGTGAACGCGGTGGACTCAGACTGTGCCATGTCATAGTATGGAGGCTGGAGAGGAATCTTCTGTATCTCATCCTCCCTGTCCAGATGAACAACCTTCAAAGGCAACAGAACCTGAGATGAAGACGCCATTCAGACTAGTGGCAGCTGCCTGGGAATTGTTATCCTGTCTGTCTACATGCACATTACTTTGTACAAAGAACCAAACTAAACACTTGAACGGTACACTCTCTGGAAAAAAAAAAATTGCAAAAATTGTACCTTTAGAAATGGACCTCAAATGGACACCTCTGTACATTATTGCGCCTAACAGTGAATATGCAAATGTGTTACTCAATTATTAATTATAAACTCTCGGGGAGTACTTCAAGTAAATATATTAATGTAAGTGAAAGACTTAGGCTGACAAAAAGGAAATCCCTGCATTGAATTTAAATACGAAATAATGTGAATTTGTGCATTTGAATATGTTTGAAAGACAAAGCTTTCCAAAGATATAATAAAACATGGCTAAATAAAATTTATGTGTTCATCAGTAGTTGATGAAATGTAAAAATGTTGACCATTTCAGTGGTCCAGTGATCAAATGTTATGTGGCCTCTCCATTTTCTTCTGTAATTATACTTGTGACTGGTCTTTGTGTGAAAATCTGCCTTTTGGAATGTATGTAAGCCACAAACTACTTTAGAAAAGTACATTTAAAAGACAAAAAAAGAAGAATTTAAAGAGAATCAATAAATTATTAATAATGTATCATGTAAATAATATGTGATCATGCAATCAATAAAAAGTAACTGTGGTCTGATTAAGAGTATTTTAAAATGTAATATACTCTACAAGTAATTAATTTTTGGAATCTGATTACTTAATCCAGATTACATGTAATCAGTTACTACCCAGCACTGGGTATTTATAAACACCCTTTAGGTGTAAACAAAGTACAAAGGAGTCCTTTTGGGGGCCCTGACACAGTGACAAGCTGTTGCACCCCCAAAGGTAAAATTTTTGCACATTTTCTTATCTGGCAGTGTATAATTTGGCATGGCCTATTCACAACATTTATGTGACAAAATAGCACAATTTGCAAATTAGTTTCTGAAAAGATTTTGCCCGCTGAACAACGTAAAATGCAATCCAGTCTCTCATTCACTGAATTGCATGGCTCTCTGGGAAATTCAATTCTGACTGGTCAGTCATGGTGGTCTGCAATCAATTATTATTGTATAATAAGATTGACATTTTGACTGCTATAATTGACTGCAATTTATAGTGATTATAGTATGTCTCTTGTATCACTCTAAATCTCTCTTTTTCCTTACGAAAAAAAATAAAAAATGTGTCAAGGGTTTATTTTGAGATAAAGACTGGCTTAGTGTTAGTCATTCCCCAGAGGAAATAAAAATCACATGTGAGATCTTTTTAACATCTCCGATATTTCTCCTAGACAGAAATTAGGACATTTTAAGATCAAATGGAGACTTGCTTCTCACACTTGACTCTTGAGATAAAAACTCTAACACGCTCACAATGGTCTCCTTTTAAGTTTTAGAAGAGATCTCATCATCATCATCACACACTGTGCTCAGATTTTTCTCCTTGAAAAATGCTGGAACGCTCACATTTGTCTCCTCAACAATTTAGAAGAGTTAGAAATGAAATGAAAATTCTGTCATTAATTACTCACGCTCATGTCTTTCCAAACCCGGAAGACCTTTGTTCATCTTCAGAACACAAATTAAGATATTTTTGATGAAATCTGAGAGCTTTCTGACCCTCCATAGACAGCAACGCAACTGAAATGTTCAAGGCCCAGAAAGGTACCAAGAACATCGACAAAATAGTCCATGTGACATCAGTGGTTCAACCGTAATTTTATGAAGCTATGATAATACTTTTTGTGCACAAAAACAAAACAAAAATAACAACTTTATTCAACAATTCTTCTCCCCCGAGTTACCATCTACCGCCATTATCGAGAGTAACACAACGCATGCATGTTCTACGTCAGCAGCATCACGCGCATGCATCGTGTTACTCTCGATAATGGCGGTAGATGGTAACTTGGGGGAGAAGAATTGTTAAATAAAGTCGTTATTTCTGTTTTCTTTGCGCACCAAAAGTATTCTCATAGCTTTGTAAAATTACGGTTGAACCACTGATGTCACATGGACCATTTGAACGATGTTCTTACTGTTCTGAAGAAGAACGAAGATCTTACGGGTTTGGAATGACAAGTAATTAATGACAGAATTTTCATTTTTGGGTGAACTATCCCTTTAAGACAAAGCTGATTCCTACATGAGACATATAAGAGAATCAACCCTTAGTATCCTGAGTGTAACCTCTGTCAGAGCCATAGCCTTGTGGGCAGCACATTGACGTCGAGGCACAACTGCACATCAGACAACACGAGTTTGAGTCCCAGTTAAAGGTACTTTGCTGCTCATGTTCTCCTCTCTCATTGTCTCTACTCCTGCTGTCCTGACTATTAAAGGTAAAAAAAACAAATGTAATCAAGAAAGAAAGAGCAACCTCTGAGCAATAAAACATTTTTATAATGGAGTCTTGAGAGAGATTTCAGCAAGCCAATAAAGAGATCTTGCATGTTTCTCACAGTCCATTCTCATTCTGGACTCCTTTCTCATGTCTCATTTGTGTCTACTTTTATTTCTCCTAAGAAATTTTAGGAGAAACATCTGAGACACTATTAATACTAAAATGAGAAATACATGAGAATCACAACTAAGTCGCCTGAGTTTAGAAAGAGCAACCACTGAGCAATAAAATATTCCTATATGGAGTCTTGATAGAGACTGCAGCAAGGAGATAAAGAGATAGTATATGTTTCTTTCACCACATTCTCAGTTTTTACTTTTTTTGTCTCAAATATTTCTCATGTCTCATGTGTGTCTACTTAAGGAATTTTTGGAGAAACATTGATGCGTAAATGCTGTTGATACTAATATGAGAGATGTATGAGAATCGAAACTAAGTCTCCTGAGCTTAGGAAGAGCAAACTTTGAGCAATACATTTTTCCTCTGAGTCCTTACTCGATACAAATATGACCCATGACAAATCAGATAACAGAAAATACCGTTCAAAATGTAATGTATATGTTGTTATTCTCTTGGATTTAGCCACTTATTTGTGGCTGTTTTATGTTCCTTGTATCTGAGATTAATGATATAAATAGGTGGATGTCTCTCTGGAATGCTGGTTCTGGACATATAAGCCAAAGGTTTGTTTTATTGGTTTTTGAACCACGGCAACAAAATCAAAATCAAAATAAGAAGCTGTGAATTACAGTTTGATCACAGTTCTTTTTTTTTTACCCTCAGCATGAAGGAGCCCATAGGACTTTATTTTTTATGAAAAAAAAATAAAAAAAATAATAAT